GTAGTTACAATTGTAGTTAGACCTACACCTATCCGATCCCTCGATTTACAACAAAAAGATTTAAGAAAAAAATAGTTCTTCTACGTGGATTCGAACTCGGTAGTATTCCTTTCGTAGTCGGCGACTTTACCTGCTGACCCGTTATACGCTTTGGTAACGATTATAAGGCAACGACTTATATGGAGCTAAAAAACTTTAAAAACGAAACCTAATAGGCTTTTTTACTACTACATATATATTACAATTTAAAGACATCCTCACTTGAAAAGCGATTTCCACGGTCGTGCACTCCCCTTGTAAGACGGGATCCTTCGCATCCACGGCTAGGCGCTTGTTAAGTAACACCAGAATGGCTATGGATTCCATCTGGAAACCACTAGTAATAACGGAGTGCTCCGAGTGCGGAGCTGGTATGAAGCTTTTTGACACCGTAATGATAGCGACGCTCTTGTATGGATCTGGAGTGTGCGGACTATGGCAAGCGGATGAGATTGAAAAAGCGCAAACTGAATTCCTTAAGAAAATTCTAGATGTTACTAGATGTACGCCAGGATTCATGGTGAGATTGGAAACGGGACGGTTGAAATTGGAGTACGAAGTCGTTAAAAGATCCCTGATCTATTTGATGAAGCTGAGTAGAATGAGAGGCAATAGATAGCCATTAATATGCTACAAAAATCTAGTCAAGAGGAGCGATAGATATAAGAAGGAACTGGTACAATCAACTGTTGATTAGATTAGAAAAATATGGATGTACGAACATTCTGAGGGAGGCAAATCCGCAAGATATCATTGAATGTAGAAATAAGATACTCGAAAAAGTTAAAGAACACCTTTTGCAAGAGGACCTGACAAGGGTATACAGTACAACAACCAACGTCACTAACAAAGGGATAATGAGCCACGATATTGGTGAGGCGGCTGAGTATTTAAAGAGCGGCGTTCAACTTAGAGTCAAGAGAATATATGCCCCATTAAGGTTGGCAGGGCCTTTCTACTGGAGAATAAGGGACAGTAACGGTATTGGGATCGTGATGAGAAGCAATGAAATGTGCAAGATATGCAACACGGGAGAACATGAAACAATAGAACACGTACTGATTAGATGCCCGATGTACGCGGAATTTAGACCAGACAAGTATTTTAACAATCTGCCGGAACTTCTTAACTCCCATGACACAGAAGTTATTAGGGAATTAAGCTATTTTATAGCAAAGGTAGCGAAAACAAAATCGCTATGTCTTAACATTTAAGTTAAAACCGTGCAAACCAAAGTATACAATTAGTGTATTAATTTAGTCAGTTAAGGGTAGATTAAGGTACTAACATATGCTCATTGTAAAGATTGTATGGATGGAAGTCCAAGACAATAAAATTATACTACTACTACTACTTATTCATTTAATTATTCGTTCAGCCATTTATTAATTTCTTCATTCATTCATTAATTTATTCATCCATTTAATGATTTCTTCATACGTTAATTCAGACATTTATTCATTTATTCATTATTTTATTCGTTCATTCATCGTTTCATTTATTTATTCGTTCGTATATTTACCCATCTATTCAACTGTTCATCTATTCACGTATTCATCTATTTATCTATTTATCGATGTCTAAATGAACAAATCGGTGACTCACCGCATATAATATCAAGTGCAGCCCTCTTAGCGTATGGAACCACATCGAATTCAGTCTTGCCAACTTCATTTCTCAAACAGGAAACCAATATTTCAGATTCCCTGATGACCGTTTTCAAATAGACATCCAAAAGTCCGCTGTGGAACGTAGGTGTCAGCAATTTTCTTCTGCAATGCCAGTGGTCACCTAAAAAATTTCATAATTGTATTATACAATCTAAAGTGCTAGGGTAGACTTTCCTAATTTCGTTCAATTAATTTTTCACACTTTTTACTCTACTTTTTGACCGATCATGAAAAGAAAGGAAAGGAAAGT